AAAATGGTACTGTCTTTTAGGTTTCTTTTTAGCATTTTTGGCCACTCACTATTTTGTTCACTTCATGTGGAAATGAACAATTCCATCTGAAATATCAAACTTGCTTCTTCCATGATATTGATGACAAAGACATTGTCTTTAAAAAGCCACTTTCTCGCTCTCACATTTATTTTTGAGGGTCTTGCTGCATGGCAAAGAGGAATGATAGAACTAAAGGTATTTGGTAAGAAAGGCAATGAAACTCTTATCCTAAAAAGGAAAGATATTGTCTTGGTTAAATATATATATATATATATATATATATATATATATAAAAGGTTTAGAGGTTGAGAAGATGACATAACAAATAGAGAGAATAAAAGATAACAAAAGTTTATGAAAATTAATGAATTTTGTTATTCTTTTAATTTTAGAAAGTTCATGAATATTTTTACATACAAGTAAACTCTTAGTGTTAACTTCATTGTTAAAAATGCACGTTAGAATTGACTTTGCAGGCCCCACTAACAGACAAGTAACAGACATTAACAATGTTGTTATTTTTGCCCCTTTTGACAACTTTATGTACATTTTTATGCTCAAAAATTTTTTTATGGTGCCCAGTGTCTCTAGGTATAAATTTAATTGTTAAAATTGCACCTTAACCCTAAAATATAAGTGATTTTTACATGTTTTAAGTGATTTATCATTTGTTGAGATTTGATGGAAAAGCAAAAAATTGTATTGTGTTTCGTTTCAATCATAAAAGGGATTATTATTTAATATTTTTTAAATTGTATGACACCTCATGTATTGCCATGTTTTTTAAAATAGTCTCTCTCTTCTACTTTATCATTAATTTTAGAGAAAATCATTATGAAATCTCGGAAAAAAATATAATTATAAAAAGGAAAATCAATGTTTTGTTCTTGTACTTTTAATTCAATTGTGATTCATTCCCTCAATTTTAATTTGCTATGACTCAGTCCTTACACTTTCAGCTTGATATGACCCAGTCTATGAAAATTGTTAAAGCTAAGTCAATCCTTGAAGACTCATCCATGTGGCAAAAAAGAGAACTGCTTCTAGTGATAAAAGTTGAGATGGCGTCTTAAAGTAGCTCCACATCATATTTTTATTTAAAAATGGGATAAGGAAGAAAGAAAAGAAGGGAGACAACGCAGACGTGATGGCAGATTTTCGGTCTCCATCCTCTACGCAGCACATTTGCCGTCGTAAATTTGCCATCGCGTCTCAGTTGTCTTCCTTCTTTTGTCTCTTCCTTTCCCCATTTTCAAAGAAGAATCTAATGTGGAGCTTCTTTAATGTCCCATCTTAGCTTTTATCACTAGGGTCAGTTCTCTTTTTTTGCCACATGGATGAGTTTTTCAAGGACTGATTCATCTTTAACAATTTCTAAGTAGTGATTCATAACAACTTGAAAGTATAAAAACTGTGTCATAACAAGTTAAATCTGAAAAAATTGGGATATAGTTGAGTCAAAAATACAAAGACCAAATTCAAAGATTGATTTTCTCATTATAAAAAAAATCCTAATAATAAGTGAAATCTTGTTATCATTTTCTACTCGAAAACTTGTCATTAACTTACTGTAGGACATTTTTTTTGTAATTACATTTTTTTTATGAAACAGTGATTTTTTCTTATTTTTTAATGATAATCCCTCTCCCCTACCTTACCAATATTTATTTAGAAATATTTTTTCTGTATGTTTTTATCATCTTTATATAAATTATCAAACAAACATCATAAAATTTCTTTAAAATATGACTTTTAAAAATAAGGTAAATTTTTATGATAAAAAATGTATAAACAAGCAAGTCTTTAGTTCGTGACAATAATGGTAATTGGATGAGGGGTTTCATCAAGAAACTTAAATTTTATCCCTAATTTGTGGAGCTTATGGAATTATGGACAGATTTAGGGCTGCCGAAAAGTTACAGTCTCTTGTGACTCCGCTGAAAGTACACAGAATTATTCATTGCAAATACTCTTATTGAACCTCAGATAACCCTTTCATCACTACAAAAGTTACTTCTTCCATGAAAAACTTTCGCACTAAGTTTTATGTACACTTTTATTAATTTTTTTTTATATTTGATTTGGATCCTTTTGAATTTTTTATTTATATAATAATTTTTTTACCTGCTGTTGATATTAAAAAAGTATTACTATTTCGGATCATTTTTCGTCTTAGAAGCAAAATCTTGATTCAAACAATTATATTATACCATAAAAATCGGGTTGAGGAGAACCGGATTGACTTTGGAATCATCTAAAAGTATTCCCTTTCATATTATACCTACTCAAAGCATGCTTCATTTTACATTCAAAATTAATTACTAAAAAGATAGTTTTACGCGAAAGGTATTAGTCCTTTCACTTCATCTAACCATCATATCTGATGTTCTTCCTCGCTCTATAGTTATTTATGTTCTTAAACATCTATGTTAAATTTATTGGTTTAAACTTATTCATTTATTTGAATATGGACATCTTAAATTTTATATTAATAGCAAACTGCCTTTATTGTGGTTTGAACAGAGGTGATGGCTAGTTAAAGAAAGCCATTGCCAAGGTATGTATACTTTCCCTTAATTTTTAATTTGGTACTTATGTAGTTTTTTTTAATTAAATTTTTAAACTTTGGTCTATTAGTACCATTAGCCCTAATAGAGTAAAATTACAGAAGTTAACAGTGTTAACATAACAAAATTAAAGAATTTAATTGAGAAAGAAAAAACATAGATACCAAATTAAAAATTAAAAATATATAGGTATTTGCAAAATAATTTTCTCGTTAGTTCATAAAACAAAATATAGAGAGAGACGGAGGGAGGCCCTGATCTTCATCCGCATGCAGACAAGGAAGGATCCTTTCACCAAAGAGATATACGATCCAAATTCTGCTGGAAGCAAAGTCAAGTTGGTCCATCCGGACATTAAACTCTATATTGCCTCCATTTTCACTGCTCCTTCAGCTCTTGCCTAAAAGTTAAAAAAGTTCCATACTTTTCTACATCAACATTGTGACAGGAAAAATTTATTCCCTTTCCCACGGACCCTTAATATAAAAGCTAGATAGAAATTTTATTTCGTCCTAAATATATGATCTAAATCTATTTTATTTATCGTATTTATCATTTTTTTAAACTAATTTACCTGACTTATAAACTAGTATATACTCATTAAGTCCTAAATGTAAGACTCATTTTGTAGCATAATTTATACTACAAAATGGGTCTTACATTTCAGATTGGAGTAATATAATCTAATATTTTATATAATGATATTTTAGAAAAATTATGTCATATTTGTTATGCCCCTTTGGTCCTAAATGTAGGAGTTAGTTAGGCAGTTGGTTTTTATCTTTAAATATAAAGCCTCAATTTATTTTATCATTTCTTTCAAACTAATTATAATTTACCTAACTCATAAATAGATATATAATTTAATGTTAGGTAGAAGTATTTTAGGAAGACTAAGTCACATGTGTTAGAATTAACTAATTTATTTGACTCTATTAATAACAAAATTATACGACTCAAAAAGTTAGTTAAAATTGATTAAAAGACAATAAATATGTAAAAAAAATATAACTTATGTTTTGTTATGAAATATCCTTATTTTTGGGGAGGGTCAATGGAAAAGAGAATGAGTGGAAAAAGAAATGAAAGAGAATGAGTGAAAAAAAATAGTTGAAAAAGACATATAATTAATTAAAGGTAAAAATGAAAAAAATACATTAAATGATCAGAAAAATCTAAATTATAATTTACGGGAAAAAAAACCTTTTGATGCTTATATTTTGAGCTAAAGGAGTATTACTTATATTAAATACCTAAAGGAGTAATAAATAACCATTGAGGTGAATTATATAAAAATAACTATAAAATCTCTCCTCTAAATTCCATCTAAATAGGGCCTTGTGGAGTGTATGTTTGTAAGCTACCAAAACGAAACTTAGTCAGGTCAAAAAAAAGAAAAACAAAACAAAACAAAACAAAACAAAACTTAGTCCGTAAACAAATGAAAGTTGCTGGTTTTTTTTTAAAAAAGCAATGTACGGATGACATAACCGTAATTAAAGCAATTGGGAGTGTTCTCTGTTCACGTGATGAGACGGGCCAACCTACACCCCACGGCAGCACATAATGCCCGGTTAGCTCAACAATTCAAACGGATTTTGGACCGATGTGAAAATTCTTAATAAAATAATTTTAAAATAAAAAAATCATGAACAAAAATTTAATTATACTCATTCAAAATATATATATTTGTATTCATCAAATATATAAATTGAACAAATAATTCTATCATGAATAATTATATTTGTCTGAATTATGACTGCTTAATAACTACCCCTTATTTATACATATTAAAAAATCAATTTAGAATTAAAAATAAAATAAAATATTAAAAAACGAAAATCACAAAATTAATCCATCGCATAAGATGTATAAAAAAGCCCATAAAATTAATTAACATCAATATTAAAAATATTTAATCAAAAAAATACACGTATATGTATACGTTAGGCTAGACTAGAAAGAAGGCACGCTGCTCATAGGTCGAGGTACGCCGGTATACCAAGTCGAATCTGGCTATTGAGCTCAATGAACTCCCCTGTATACAGCTTTCAGCATCAGGCTCCGTGATTCTTTCTATCAAAATAACATACGAAATAAAGTTAAACAAACGGGACTGTACAAGTTTGTCATCATTATAATCCCTTCCTACCCACCATGGGATTCCAAGCGGCACATCGATTTTCTCCTCCACAATAAATTATTCCTCCGGTCTTTAATATAGAATCTAATTCTTAAGTTGGTTTTGATCCTAAAGATAAGACCAACTTCTCATATTTATTATTTTTTTCTAAATTATCCCTATAGATATTCCCTTAACCATAACCAAGTCGAAGAGAGAAAAGGAATATTAAGAAAGATGATTATGATATTTTAGGAAAAATATGTCACTTTTCTTATAATTAACTAACTTACCTAACTTCCTTAATCTAATCAAATTAATTAACTGGGTCTTATATTAAGGATCGGAGGAGTAGTAATTTCCCATCACTGTCTTTATAAAAAACCACAAAGCCGCTTAGCAAACTAAAACCATGTAATCTTTCCAGTTACTTGAAATTCTCTAACTCAACCATGATCACTCGAGGCTTAGCATGTTGTTTGGTTCTGGTCTTCACAACATCTTTTAGTGTTACTCCTTCTCATGCAAAGCAGACCCCACCAACTTCAGATATCTTCAGAATCCACCATGTTTGGCACCAAGTTCTGCAATGGGAAAACAAAACACATGAATTCCCCAAACCCCATGATGGTTCACTCACATCTCTCCCAATCGTGCTAGCAGCAATCTTCTGCTTCATAGCTTCCTCTATTTCCAGTGCTGGTGGAATAGGTGGTGGTGCACTTTTCATACCCATTTTAACTATTGTGGCTAAAGAAGACCCCAAAACAGCTTCAAGACTCTCATCCTTCATCGTCGCAGGAGGATCAATCGCAAATGTGCTGTGCAATTTTTGCAAAACAAGTTCCGAGTTCGGAGGCAAGTCATTGATTGATTATGACATTGCACTTTCTTTACAACCATGCTTGCTTCTTGGAGTGAGTGTTGGAGTTATCTGCAACACTGTGTTCCCAAAGTGGTTAGTCACTCTTCTGTTTGCTATTTTTCTTGCCTGGTCAATCAGAAAGACATGTAAAAGAGGGTTGACGTTATGGAAGACTGAATCAGAAAAGATAAGGAGAAATGCTGAAATTGAAGGAAACGGAGATGGGAATTTTGAGGAACCTCACTATCTGGGTAATAAAGAAAATAGCAGATTGAAGCTTCCGTGGCTGAAATTAGGGGTTTTGCTTTTGATTTGGCTTTCTTTCTTCTCTCTCTATTTTCTTCGAGACAACAAAAATGGACAGGTAAGGAATCTTTTCCTCTTCATCTTCTGTGTTTGATTTGATTTGCAGACTAGGATTAGATTCAGAATTATAACCCTGAATATTAACACACAGATATCACTCAACACAATACAATTATCGTACTACAATAAAATTCTAGTGTTTAGGCGCATATTCAAGTGTCACGACATATTTGACATAAAAATTACGTTTTTCACAGTCCCAGAGCTCAAGAATAATTCTAGGCGCAACGCCTGCGCTTCTGCTATTTAATCATGATTCCTATAGACTGCTTCTGTTTCATAATATTATTCACATAGACACGTGTTTAGTGAAAGGTCAGTAATGCCAAAGATCAAATGAGTGCAGAGTATCCTTCGCATGAAGCCTTGTGGTGTGGCATACTGGATTCTCTCATCAGTTCAAGTACCTCTTGCTGTGATTTTGACAGCTTGTGTTGTGTTTAGGGAAAGAAGCCTGCAAGACCAAACTCAATCACAACAGGTCCTTTAAACAGCACCGATTGAAAAGCATTTTTTTCCTAGCAATTAAATGTTTCTCACAACCTCTAATTCAATCAAAACAGAGCTGACTTCAATGGAAATGTTATGCAGGGTCAAGAACAGTGCAGAGATGCACCATTAAAGAAGCTTCTCTTTCCATTGATGGCACTACTAGCAGGGATCTTTGGAGGTGTTTTTGGAATAGGAGGTGGAATGCTAATAAGCCCGCTTCTTCTTCATGTTGGAGTAGCACCTGAGGTTAGTTTATACAAATTTCTCTTAGACTTTGTTAAAATTACATGAAGTTTCCTCCTACTCTCAAAACTTGTGCATACTTGCTAGAAACAAGAAATATACATGGACCTCTACTGGAATATACCAAATCTGCACAAAACTCTCTTCTAATTTTCAAAATCAACACAAACTCTCTAAAAGAAAATTACACAGATCTCCGTTGAGATTTGCTAAAATTACACACGTTCATTCAATTTTCAGAGTAGGTTTACATATATTTTAAAATACAAAGAAAATCAGCGTAAGTTACTCCATTTCAAAGGAGATTTATGTGGTGATTAAAAATACAAAAGAAATTGGAATTGCTTGGGGAAATTTAAAAACAAAAAAGTTTAAATTAATTTTGAAAACAAAGTCTGATTAATTTCAATGGAAAGCAAGCATATTTAATTTAACTAAAATACTACATTTAGTCTTTAAATACAAGAACTAATTAAATATTTAATTTGATCCTAAATATAAGATCTCAATTCATTTTATCTCTCATATTTATCCATTTTTTCCAATTAATTTCTATAGTGATTGTACATATTAATTGGTTCTATCAAAAGGCAATTCCAAAATGTGCTTTAAAAAAGAAAACATTGAATTATTACAAACAAATAACTTAACTAATTTCCTTAATATAGTAAGTTTGAGTAAAACACAAAGAATGAGTCCTCTAAAGATGCCTTTTTCCCAGTTTTTGGGGGAAAACACAGAAATGAAAAAGAATAGGCATGTTCAGCGATGAAGGCATGTATGGATCTTATCTTAGAAGGTTCTCCATCCGCAGAGTTCATTCACGTCCCATGAATTGAGCATACTCAAAATATATTTGCACAGTAAATAAATAAATAAATCTACCTAGCTAATGTTAAATTCAAGGAAGCCAAAGTATTTTACTTTAAAATATGTTTATATCTGAATTAACAAAATCACTTCTGTTTATATCAATAGATAACAGCAGCAACAAGTTCTTTCATGGTTCTATTCTCATCAACAATGTCGGCATTACAGTATGCATTGATAGGCATGGAAGATATAAAGACAGCCTTGATATTAAGCACAGTAAGTTTTGTGGCGTCCCTTGTGGGGGTATTAGCAGTGCAGAAAGCCGTTAGAAAGTACAAAAGGGCATCTTTAATTGTCTTCTCATTAAGTGCAGCCATGGCTCTAGGTATTGTCCTAATGACAAGCTTTGGTGTCATTGACGTTTGGAGGGATTATAAATCTGGAAAATACATGGGGTTCAAACCCCCCTGTAAAAAGAAACAATCTTCTTAATCAGCTCCCATGGTATGCTAGTTGCTATGATTCATGTAAAATAGTAGACAAGAACTATGGTCTGGTCCTAAGAAAAAGCATATTCCTAGGATTGCATACCTGATATGCATCTATAGATAACAGCAGCAAATGTTCGTTCAAGGGTTTGTGCTCATCAACGTCATACCTGATATTTACTTTGAAGCAGCAGCATTTGTCGCCCCTGATAAATGGAGCCGAAGAGGACAGATGGTGTCAAGAACTAAATGACCAAAAAAAAAAAAAAAAAGCTCCAAATTATCTAGTTATACAAACCTGATACCATATCAAAAGTAGTTCAATTCAGTAGTTAGTAAAAACTTGTGATGATTATATTAAATCATCTAAAATACTTTTCTTCATCTCTGGTGTTACATAGGCAAAAGCAAGTCTCACGGAGTTGGCATAATGGTTAAACATGTACTTGATTGCCAATGTCGATAAGGAGCTTGCAAAAGAATCTAGTCTGAGTTGACAGAAAAACTGATCCAAGAATATCCTTATCATAAATAAAAAACAAGGCCCACATGTACCAGTTCTCTGCAAACTTAATATGATAGATACCCCATACAGACATAGGAACCAAAGCAATCAAATCTTAAAACTCGAATACCATATCATAAAGTCTATTATCTTTTCCATCCCTAAATTATAACCATTGCCATATTCTTATCCCTTCAGTTTTAACTTTCCTGATAAAATCTCTCTGCCTTTCAAAAATCATCAGATATGTTCTTCAGCCTCATTCTATGAAGGATTAAATGATTTTAATAAAGTGTAGGGACCAATGAATTAAATGGCTTAAACTCAATAAAATGAGTTGGACAAGTTAAACTTAAGCAATTGAATTATAACTACGTCAAAACTACAAGGACTAAATAATTATTTTTCCTAACCACAAAAGCTTTTAAAAATTTCCTCATAGTCTTTCTCTCTCTAATGAAGTAAAGATACTGATAAGCAAGCTTTTACACAAACCACAGCAATATAAAACAATTAAACAATATTCTGCAAATAAAACAACTAAAAAAAATGTGGTTTCCTGTTGAACTTAAGAGGATAACGATATCCATATAAAAATGAAAAATAAAAACAGACTCGAAGAAATGACAATCCAAAAATACATAAATAAATCAAAGAAGGAACATTAGATAACTAACTTCCCTTCAGGTTTGTTGACTCTTCCCAAATGTTTCAGGTCGTTGTAGTTCTAAACTTACGGTCTGTAATCTGTACACATAAGCAAAGTTGTAAGCTTTTCACATCAAGGGAATCTTCTACCTTGTTTTTGAGTTTAAATTACCCCAGAAATAGCCTAGAGTCACACATATTCTCAGCTGAAAGTCTCTTGGAAAAAAAGAACATTCAGGCTTATATTTTAAAAATATATATATACACACATATCTACATTCCACCAGGCAAGGTGCCGCTCATGGTGCTGACCACAACAAATTGGTTCTCTCAGTGGCACCATGTAAATTGACAGGTGGCATCATAGTTTTCTTCAAAGTCAGCCATACAAAGCAGCATGTCAACCCTGGTGGCCACCATTGATAAAACTACTCTGTTATCCCCTGCTTCCAACAATGTTTTCTTCCCCATCATATAAAAGTCAGAGATAAAGCCGCGGTGAGAGCATATGAGAGAAAAACATGACGAATGAGATGAGTCAGCAAAAAATAACATTTAAGATGCCATGTAATATAACAGAGCGTGATGTTGGAGAATATGTTAATTTAGGAAAGTTGAGGGATTCTATGGAAAAAAATTTTCAGGGACCAACAATTATATTTTGGCCTCATTATAATCTTTTAATGGCGCAGTTGTTTACAGGTTGGAAAATGACATTCTTTTCATTCTCTCTATACAAATCTGTTATATCATTGGAATAAACATTTTTCCCTTTTTTTTTACTTCTTAAGTAAGGATATGAGCTTTCATTATTTAAATCCTTTTTCTTTCTATTTTCTATTTTATTTTATTTTTTCATTCCGCATGCCAAACAAACAGTTACATTCTCCTTCAAACAGAAGGGTGTAACTCTCAAACTCAACATCTTATTCTTGAAAGTTGAAACTTCATTTTAATCTAGAGAATAAAGAGCAGCTCAAACTCTTGTATTCTTGATTATAGAGGCATTTATACCATTAAAAGAACCACTTCAATAAAGGCTTGTCTTAGTCTGTGTTTTGATTGATTTCATTATAATTTTAAACAATCACGTTTAGCTGCAGTATGTTTTACAAATTCTATGAAAGTTTGATCTGACAGATAAACAAGAGACACTAACTAAAGAAGTGAAATATTAAGCTGAGACTATAACATTTGAACTTGCATCATTCAACACAAACAGTATCATCACAAAAGCCTTCCACCTGAAATTCCCGTAAGGACTAGTCCAAAAGGACAGCAAGCATATATCTTATAGATTACAAAAGTAACAAACCTAACTACGCAACTGAAACACGAATGGACTGGACAAACCCATCTATCCTTTTCTTGATCTCTTCTGGGTTGGCACCAATGATCTTATCCACCACAGTCCCATCTTTCAAAAGCACAAATGTTGGCATGGCTTTTATCTCCAATTTAGTGGCTACATCCTGACCAAAAGAATTTCAATATGTTTGATTATGTTAAACAAAATGATCTCAAAACCTTTAGATGAGAACATTACCCAAGCATGAGTTATAACATGCCAAGCTAGGTCAACAATTCAATCAGTAAACAAATTTGAGAAGGAAACATTTAAGATGATCAACAAAATATCTATATTTCTTTCTTGGTGACTTTTGGACCCACATTGAAAGGGCTGAGCCGGCAACAAACTATTAGGCTGAGGCATGATGTGTGTGAGTGCAAGAGAGCAACATCGCAGTTAGTTGTATATATTTGGGGAGTGATGGTTAAGGGAGGCTAGGAAATTAGTGAGCGTTATTTGAGAGAGGCCTGCTCTCTCAAATACCAGGAGGAGCGTGTCCTGCGTGTTTATTTTAAGAATTGTTGCTTTTCTTGCTTAGACTCACACTCTGGCAAGGTTATTGTGAATTTTAATACTTGAACCTGGGTTCCATCAGACACACACCACTAATTCAATTATTTAAACATACGTGAGAGTGAAAAATATGCTGATTAGCAGAAAGAACATCTATAACACACAGTATCCATAACACTATCATACATACACAGAGAAAGAGAGTCGGCGCATTATAAACATGGATCCTGATATATGTTTAGCTTCAGGCATGTAATCAGCAGGTATGCATCCACATACTCTATTTGTATCCAGAAGCATCGAGAAATGGCTCAAAAGCGTTATTACTAAAAACTGAATGGATTACCTTGACTTCATCAACATCAACAGTCAGAAAAAGAGCATCTTGATAGCCTGAAGACATTTCTTCAAAAAAAGGATTCATAGCCACCGACGGCATGCACCATGAAGCAGTGAAGTGCACAATAACCTACAATCGATACCAAAGAAATACAATATTAAATGAATCATCTACCAAGGAGTGCCACTAAAAAGCACCATGACATCCAAGTTAACGGAAACGCGTGTTTCAAAAAAGATACGAAAAGGCATGAAACAGCCATAAGACCATCTCCAGAATCATTTTATAACAGGGTTGTGAATCATCTAAAAGAACAAACATTTAAAATACACAATTTATAGACGAAAATCAACCGCAGAACCGAGCACTATAGAAGCAAAATTTTAAAACGCATGACAAACCCAGGATCCAAATTCACGCATACAAGTGTAGGCGTCAAGAAGTAATTCAGACAGTATTTGAAAACCAAATAAAATTTTAATTCCTGTTTATAAAGCCATTCCGTAACCCAATAAAATTTGATCGCTTATAAATGAATATAGTAATTAGCTAATCTCAGCGGATAAACACGTTTTCTGAACAGGAATTCTTCACTTTGAAATTGAGAAAAGGAAAAGATGTATAGTGTTGACTCGAATCGAATGCTGAGCACACTTAATAACTCAGCTTAAAGAACAAGAACATTATAAAGGCCCAATTGACAGTCTGAAATGGTTCACTTACAGGGCAATTCTGATTAGTGGCCTGAGCGACATAGAACTCCCAAGATTGCGGAGAATCAATCACCACAACCCTTGATTTCTGTGGCTCTTGTACTTCCATTTCTTGTTCCTGCTTCAACTTCAAGTCCTCCCTGAGGATTTCCCTCGATCTCCAAGGCTTGTTGTTGTTTCCCCGAATAAAGTATTTGGCTTGATTAAATAAACCTGATTTAGACGCCGTGGACCCATTATTGATTAATAATTTAATCTTCTTCCCCTGATAAGACGACCCACTAACTCAGCAGGAGACCTGACGAAGAAGATAAGAATATCGTGCTCATTCTATATTCAAAGCATAATTAAAAACTACCGCATCTTCTACGGTTAAAAATGACAAATTATCTAAAGAGTAAACATGACATGATGATGAATTCCAGAATGGACGAATCACCGAAAGAATCCAAGAGATAACAAAGAAATGCTCAATAATTTCGTGGTTTGATGGGCGCCCACAGCTCAGTCTGGAAGATTCTCAAGCCCAAGTTGGATAAGACCAATAAAAACAGATATTTTATTCATCAAGAAAGATTCTTAATAATAAAAATGGAAGTTGGATAAGAATAATATCCGTTGGTAAATTTACCTGGCGCCAACTCAAATACATACGACCCATGTAAGATCGGCTTTCACGGTCAATAGTCTGAGGATTCGTTTTAATCAAAAATTTGAGTGCTTAAGCAGGCATCGTTATATTAAATTTAAATCAAGGGAAAATTTCACTGTAGGACCGCAGAGGACAATTAATCTCAAAAAGCCCCCAAAACTTTCTGAAACCTCACTGCAGGACCAATGGGCCAATCTGATATTAATTCCACAAACGAAATGACGCCACTACCCTTAGCATCAGGTGAACCAGTCCACATGTGAACGGACTGATTCCATGTGTGAATATATTGTATTTCTTCTGCAAATTGGCTAGTTCCCCTTGCAAATGCGATCTCCCGCACTTGTTCCCTCATGGACACATGCTTCAGGTGAATCAGTCCACATGTGAACGGACTGATTCCACGTGTGAATATATGTATTTATTCTACAAATTGGCTAGTTCCCCTTGCAAATACGCTCTCCCGCACTTGTTCCCTCACGGACGCATGCATCAGGTGAACCAGTCCACATGTGAACGGACTGATTCCATGTGTGAATATATGTATTTCTTCTGCAAATTGGCCAGTTCCCCTTACAAATGCGATCTCCCGCACTTTTTCCCTCACGGACATATGCTTCAGGTAAACCAGTCCACATGTGAACGGACTGATTCCACGTGTGAATATATGTATTTATTCTGCAAATTGGCTAGTTCACTTTGCAAATGCGCTCTCCCGCACTTGTTCCCTCACGGGCTCATGCATCAGGTGAACCAGTCCACATGTGAATGGACTGATTCCACGTGTGAATATATGTATTTATTCTGTAAATTGGCTAATTCGTCTTGTAAATGCGCTCTCCCGCACTTATTCCCTCAAGGAAATAAGTTTCTACTAGGGGCAGTGGCGTCATTTCGTTTGTGGAATTAATATCAGATTGGTCCCTTGGTCTTGCAGTGAGGTTTCAGAAAGTTTTGGGGGCTCTTTAAGATTAATTGTCTTCTGCGGTCCTACAGTGAAATTTTCCCTTAAATCAATGTAAAATACAAAATTTGTTATAAAATTATATTATCAACAGCTCAAAAGGGGCAAATTATTTCGAGTTCCATGCAATTCTTTATTAGAAAAATTAGTAAAAAATCCCTATTTAAAATTTTAATTGACCATAAACACAGCGGATGATATATTATATTTACAGATCATACATATACTTGTACAATTTTAGGTCCTTCTACTTAATTAAAATTTCAAACAGGGATTTTTTTTTATTAATTTTCTCTTCTTTATTTTTATTTACACATTTCATTAGGCTGTATATAGCTTTTATTTCTTTCGATATTTCATTTCGACGTTCGAAAGTTACAATTTAAAAAAAGTGGTCACTTTAGCTTATGCCATCAAAAAAAAAAATCTAAGTTATCTAAGCACCCACCAACAGTTTACTCAGCCAAAAGGAGGTGTATGTGGCTTAAATTAAATTCATACTTTAATTATTTAACACAGCCCAAATAACCTCATTAATTATGCCAATGCTAAATGATAGTAGTACAGATCACAACCGGAGGCTAAAGCCAAGCCTCCACAAATCAAATACACACTGCTAGAGATTTCCTACCCTAGAATTTTATGACCTTCATTCACAACACAAGGAACAAATATATTGCTCTTCTTTCTCCCTTTTTTTTTTTTGGTTTTTGCCCTCTACAATAGTAAAGTGTACAAATCTCCCTATCAAATTAAGTATAACAAGTCAAATTTCCCCCAAAGAACATTTTTTTTTTTTTTTGGGTCTGCTATGTTGGTGGGACCCATCACAACGTTGCTCTCTTCTTCGATCATCAATCTTCACCCATAGCTTAGCCGAGAATCAAAAGACTTGGCTGATGTTTGACGCCTTGGAATACCAATTTCACAGGCATTGACTCTGGCAGCAAAGCGAAGAGAGCAAAGGGACTCTCCAGAAGAAGAAGCATCAGGTGAGACATTTACAAACATCAATGTTTTTGAATCTCCCCAAGACATGGCTGCACAATTCATATAACAGAACAGAGTTCAATATAATGTATGAGAGCATCATCACAGGAAGGAACAAAGAAATGCAAACATAGGGCTCAGGGGATAAACAGTAATTTCCATTAAAAACCCTCAAGACAATTTCGTGTTTGGGATCGCATTAGGTAGCCTCCAAAGTCAATTAGGACCCAAAAAAAACCGGTTACATGTAAAAATAATATTTGGCATGGCTTCAAGAACAACTGATTTTTTGCTCAAAAGTCACCTTAAAGTTGAAGCAATTTTTTCTAACTTTTAGCTTTTGGTTTTTCCTCATATTTGAACCTTCTAAAACTAACTTTTTAATATATCATTCAAAAAAGTTATTGTGAAACTAATTATTTTATCAAAGTTCATTCAAACATAAATTTAGATCATGAATATCATCATCAGTTTGTCTATAAATATTGTAGGAAGCGCACTATTTAAATCATGAATACTTATGTTTCCTTTTCTTTTTTTTTCCCCTTCTTCCTTTTTATTTTTTTGGTTGCCTCAATGTTTACTTCAAATTTATCATTAGATTAAAAACAAAATCCTTCCTGTCCTCCCTGCTAATTTTTTTCCAAAAGAAAATATAAATTTAAGCTTAGCAATATACATATGCTGGTGGTAGTTAATTGCCTGTCTCATTTAGGCGTTGAGTAACCTTATTAATTCTGTTTAAACCAACAAAATCAACCATTCAAACACAAGTCACTACTAAATCAATATGTGAATGTTGATTAAACTAGATTAATCAAAAAGAGATCAAAACACCCATTGGAAAATAATTAAATATCAAACATCGAATAAAACGGTGTAATTATATTTAATGCAATGCAAGAAGATAAATTGGAATTTCATATTTAACGTACCTGGAGAAGGTATGTCAATTTTGAATTCCTGAAAGGAACATGCTCTTCTTTCTTGGCCAAAGCAAATATGACATCGCTCAAAGATGATAAACTTTTGTTGATAGCCTGAACAAAATGGCAAACTCATTTAAGAAGATAGTGTTATTCAGCATAAGCAGCTCAAGTTCAGGGTATGCAAGCAAAAACAAACCTGGGTTCCTTGAGTCGGTCCCCAGTGGCCCCACTCCTGGACAGTCTTTCACTTCCAGCCAATCAATCAAATTTAAGACAACTTGCACTTGTTGTTCAGTATTCTACAAAGGGAGGACATCAAAGCATCCGTTAGACACACACACAGAGAGAGAGAGAGAGAGCAATAGCATTTAAATCGAAATGCAATACATTATGAAAGTGCGTGCATACCTCATTAAATCCACATATCCGCAGAGTAAAGACAAATGGCTTCTTGATGACTGTTTCATTCATTTGGGTTCTTCCTACCGACCTAAAACAGCACAGGCGAATCTCATGCCATAATGCAGAGAACAATAGTTAAATATTAAGGGATAAAGTCTATCTTAATCAATAAAAACTATGTTACTGAAAAGAAACTTCCAAGTAAAAAAAAAAACCTTGATTGTTCAATATTAGCTCAATAATTCAAAAAATATATACTCCTCCGGTCCTTAATAAGACCCAATTGTTGAGTTGGTTTTGGCC